TTAGCTTCCGAGTTTATTTATTTATTTATTCGTGGAAAACAAACGGCATGTTAAAACTAAGGATAAAACGAGATGATGTAGCATTGATAAGCCTTATACAGTTTTCACAAATACAAATCAAATAAAATATACTTAATAAAATCGAGGCCGTAGATTAATTTCAAACTATATAAAAATAAAAACACAGAAGTAAAAAATTAAGCATAAAGCCATAACCACAGAGAAAATGGTGATAAAAATATAAAGTAATTTAAATTAGGTTTTATTATTATTATTAAAAAATTTGCTATTCACAATCTTTTTGAAATAATTTTGCCTCGCCAGGAATACGTCCACATCACTTGAATAATTATTATTGAAATTTTGTGTTACTCTATTAAAGTAGGAATCTCTTATCTATTAGACAAGTCCGTCCGTCCGTCCGTGTTTCAGCGGCCAAACCGTAAGAGATAGATAAAGAGAATGTTTAAGTTATAAGTTGAGAATAGTCTGATAATACTACAAACCGGATGTGAGTAACGTAGAACTTACTAACAAACCACACAAAATCTCCGAAGTTCTCAATTAATTAAATACATTTTTTTTTTTTGGTGAACATTTGGTTCACTGGTTTGCTAGTTCTGTCTATAATTTGTCGATCATAAATCAGTATGGAATCGCAGATATTTGCGTCTGGCAACTGTACGGAATGGTACCTGGATTTTAACCAATGATAGCAGCTCATTGATGTCTATCTTGCCGAGAATTAAGTTGTGGAAAAATGTTAGGTCCGCAGCTTCTCTACGCTTACTTAATGGAACATATATAACATATAGAATATATGGAACATACGTACATCGCGACAAAAATTTCATCCCCATCATCTTGATGCGTGGCTATCCACAACCGTTCGTTTTTGTCGAAACTTTTTACCACGTACGACAAAACTGTGGAATATATTGTCGCCAGCAGTGTTTCCGGACCAATACGACCCAAAAACCTTCAAAAAAAGAGCGTACTCCTTCCTTAAAGGCCGGCATCGCATTTGTGATACTCCTGGTGTTGCAAGTGTCCATGGGCGACGGTAATCACTTACCATCAGGTGAGCCGTCTGCTCGTATGCCCCCTATAACATGATGGTGTCGTTGGCAGTTCCCTATCTTTGTTTCATTATTATCTTCATAATATTGTATGCAGCATTTATGTCACTATTGTTATATTGTGTACGTGATGTAATCATTAACGTCTCTACTATTAATTAATTAAGCGGCTATTCTATAGGCTGAGCAATGATTAATAATGAATGGTCGTTACTTAGGTTATTATTATTTCCTCATTATAAGCGTGGTTAATACAAATTCAATTATACAATTTCTTTAAAAAAAAAATTTTGTTTTTTTTTATTATTATTTTAAAGCATGTAACTGCTTGATGTTTAAAAGTTCGAGTCCCGTCTGCTGCCTGGTCTGCGTGGAATTTTTTCTAGTAATATTTTCTTAAGATATAACTTCTTTTTCGATTTTTATACGTTTGTTAATTCTCCTCCTACTAATTCTGCTGGTAACTTAGCGATCTTATACCTATACTAGCAAACCAGTGAACCAAATGTTCACCAAAACCTGATTTCTCGAAAACCGGAAGTGCTACGCTACTCAAATCCGGTTTGTAGTCTTATCAGACTATTCTTAACTTATAACTTAAATATTCTCTTTATCTATCTCTTACGGTTTGGCCGCTGAAACAGCACCACAGACAGACGGACTTGTCTAATAGATAAGAGATATGGATGTTTGGCTTATTGAGTAATAGTCACAGTCAATGAAAGACCATAAAGTGAAACCTTAAACTTATTAATTTTGTACGAAGCATTAATGCACCAAAGCAAAATTGTATTTTCTCTTTGTATAATAAAGTTAAAGTTGGTTTCAAAGTATATTTATCTACATTATGAAGACTGGAAGTTGAGACGCCGCCAGAGAAGCGCTCGGCTGCTCAACCGCAGCCAACACAATACAATAACAATCTTGCAGCGTCTACACAAATAGGTATTTAGGTACACATAACATCAAGTTTATTCACTGCAACAAATTTTACTTTCGTTAATATTTTTTGTATTGATACAAACAGGTGTCTCGAATTGTTACGCTTGAAAATGTGAGATATTTGACATTTAATGTTTGCTAAAACTGCTGATAAATGAAACTCTATTTATCTATGTATAAATATTAGACTTGCAACGAATATTCGGTTACTATTCGGTATTCGGCTGTTTTTATTATTATCGGCCGAATACCGAATATCTACATATTATTCGGCCGAATATCGAATACTTAAATAATATATTTTGTCATAGAGATATAATTGGTTAAATGAAAAATTAAAATCGATTGATTACATATATTTTCATTTCTGTTATAGTATCATTTAAGTAGTCATTGGTACATAACACAGGTACATAGTCATCTTCTGAATTGGAAAAATGGAGGATTCTATGTATTTGAATTATTGTGGTAATCAAAATTTAGAAGGGTAAGGTTCTCATTTCTTTTATAATCACTTATTAAATAGTCATTGGTACATAAAACAGGTACATAATTCAATCATTTTCTGTATTAAGCAAGTTAACAGTATGTGTAACAGTCATGTGATGAATGGTTACATAATAGCAATAATTTAAAGTTTAGGTACGCGCCGTTTTTGGCCATATCTCAAAAGTTGGTTTTGTCATTTAGCCGCATTTTAGCTTGAGGACGTCAGATTAGAACAAAAAACAATCCCGTCTGTACAAGTTTTTGGCGCTAAAATCCTGCCGAATACTTTTGCCTAATATTCGGCAATTCGGGCAGGGGCCTCGCCGAATATTCGGTATTCTGCCGAATATACTATTCGTTGCAAGTCTAATAAATTTTATCTTTGAATTTGTCAATAACATTGTGAGTGGCGGGTGGCGGGAGCGTGAATGTTTGCGCGAGTGCGGCCGCACCGAGCGACGGGCGACGGGCGACGGGCGACGGGCGCCGGGGGCGGAGTGTCGGCCCGTCTGCCGGTGACGTCACGCGCGTAATTACTTCCATTGAGCCGAGCGCGCCCGAGCCGCGCCGACGGCGCCCGACGACCCGCGCGCCCGATCCCCACCGACCGAAGCCAACCAGTGTACAACATTTTCTAGTACGCGCCCGACGGCTATCACGCGACGAACTCCCACAGAAATAACATTGTTAACAAAATAAATCTAGCCGTCCGCCAAAGTGTTCGTGTCTAGTGCCGCGCTAAAAAGCTCTCTAGCGATTACTTTTATTAGCTAATCCCGTCGCCGTGAAGTGAAGTGAAGTGCGAGCGAGTGTGAATAGTTTGCGGTTTCGACCTCGTTTAGTTCGACTGTGTGATTTAACTGGACGCGGGCCGATCCAGCTTTCTAACGGGCGTAGAGGAAGAGAGGGTCGCCGCTGCCCGAATCGATGAGCGCTCGCGTTCGGCAACGATGACAGTACGCCCATTGATCGGTTGAACCGGAGCCCCGTAGCGTAGGTATGCACGATTCCCGTACGATCGTAAGACGGGCGCGTGGTTAGCGAAAGAGAAATCTGTTCGAACAATCTATATTTGCGGCCGGGCCGGGGGAGCCTCTCGCTGGTGCCGGCGACGCGGTACTAATTGTCGGATACGAGCGCCTCCTTCACGCCTGTCCCGCCATCAATCGCTGCCCTCGGTCTTTGAACCGTGACCGCGCCGTTCCTACTATCACTGCTATCGCTCGCTTTGTTTATCAATACTTATAATAAATCCGTAGAGAGGTCGATTCTGTACATGAAATATATTTTCAAAATAACTATCAGGGGGTGATTAGTGATCGATACTGATGCCAAAAATGCAATCAGTAAAATTTTTATTTGTCAGTCTGTCTGTATGTATGTTCCTGATAGAAACAAAAACTACTCGACGGATTTTAACGAAACTTGGTACAATTATTCTTCATACTCCTGGGCAGGTTATAGTATACTTTTCATCACGCTACAATCAATAGGAGCAGAGTAGTGAAGGGAAATGTTGGGCAAACGGGAGAAGTTACTCCATTTTTTAAGCTTCCGTCGCGTGTGCTGCCTTAATGGTTAAAGTTACATAGAAATCATGTATGACGGAAATATTCTACATAAAATTGTCTAAAAAATATTCCGTAACAGCATATGTCTATCTTTTATGGTTGACTCACAATAACACGTGTAACTCCTGATAGCTTAGCAGTAAAGCTCTAAACCGAAGCGAAGCGAGGGCGGGCCACTAGTACACAATAAATTGAAAGTTCTAGAAACAGCAACACGATTGCAATGCTTATGCAGACGGAACGAGCGCAACTCGGCTCTATGATACGGCTAGAATCCGTATTATTTACTAAAAAAGTATGTAACAGGGTTCAAGTTTGATTCCCGCATTCTATTTTAATTGGTCAATTATTATGAGATAAGCCAGGGGTTCGATTCTACCAAGTTAACGAAAGAATAATGGTTCAATAGTACCGCTTTTTGATATAGATCTTGTTATTAAAACATTAAGTAAAAAATAAATATAGATAAAAATAATAAACGTGGAAGTAAATATATTAGTTTTGTTTTAACTAAACTAAATAATCCGTTTTTTAACTAATATAATTTACTACATATTCATAACTGTGTCAAAAATCAAAACTACTGAAACACCATTAATACAAGCTTATCACTTTAACTTAGCAGAATTGATACCCAGAGCGACTGCCAAATAGAAACCATAGCAATTAATAATGAAACTTGTTTGTAAAATAAGTTCATTATTGTAATCTTGTTTATAAAAACAAGTTCATCATTTATTCATCATTCATTCATCATTATTAAAAATTGAATTTTTTACATCAATATACCTATTGGTATTAGATATTTTCAAAAAAATATTCTAATAAATTAATGTAACCTACCTGCCTAAATTAAAACAAAATTATCAAAAAACTGTTTTATCTGGAAAATAACATAAACCCTTTCCCCTGATTCCAGGCTCAATCCAGCCGAATGGTGATTGGATGACTATCTCCGCCCGGTCCCCGAGCAAGGACTCATCGCCACCGAAGCAGATAAACTTCGCCGAGCCGCTGGTAGAGTCGGTGCGCGTGTACCTGGCCAATGAGCTGCCCTCCAAGCAGCTAGCGCTCGTGCCGCTCGTGCCGCGCGCTCCCTCGCCTCCCGCACCGGCACCTGCCGCGCCACCCGCCAGCGATGTCGACATAGCGGCGCACACCGCGCGCGACGAGATCAAAGGCATCAACTTCGAGGGGCGGTTCAAACGGAATGACCTGAACAACAACGCGTCGCGCCCCCAGCCCTCGCCGCAGCGCGCCATGCCCAGCCAGGCGGAGCTGATGCAGCGCCAGCCCCTCCTGGCGCGCGCCGCCAAGAAGGACGCGCCGCAGCCCGCCACCGACGACTCCGACCCCGACCAGGAGCACTCGCCGCAGCGCGCGCACGCCGGCGAGTTCGTCGTCGAGATCCCGCCCGGCACCGTGCGCGAGGAGCGCTACCCCAAGGAGATATGGAAGACCATCCTCTCCTTCTTCTTCCTGTTCCTGTGCGTGTGCATCAACATGATGTCGCTGTCGCTCGTCCACGAGCGGCTGCCCGATAGAAACAAAACGGAGCCCCTCAACGACATAGTGCTGGACAATATAACCGCGAGAGATTGGGGCCTGGCGGTGTCCGAGTACCTCATCATGGTGTCCACGACGGTGGCCATGCTCGTGGTCGTGTTCCACAAGCACCGGTTCATCGTGGCGCGCCGCTTGTTCTTCATCATCGGCCTGCTGTACTTGTACCGGTCGGTCACCATGTTCGTGACCGTGGTGCCGGTCTCCAGCAAAACTTACTACTGCAGCCCGAAGAGCAACGCCACGACGCCGCTGCTGGTGATAAAACGGATGTTCTATCTGATATCAGGGTTCGGCCTGTCGATCAACGGCAAGCACACGTACTGCGGCGATTACATATACTCGGGGCACACGATGGTGCTCGTGCTGAGCTACATGATAGTGGCGGAGTACTCGCCGAAGAAGCTGTGGCCCGTGCACTGGGCGATGTGGGGCTCGGCGCTACTGGGCGTTTCGTTCGTGCTGCTGGCGCACAGCCACTACACGGTGGACGTGGTGATCGCATACTACGTGACCACGCGGCTGTTCTGGACGTTCCACTCGCTGCTGGTGACGCCGCACCGCAACGGCAGCGGGTACAACTACCACATGATCCAGCGCGAGTGGTGGTACTGGCTGTTCACATACCTGGAGCGCAACGTGCGCGGGCCGCTGCCGCGCCGCTACGACTGGCCGCTGCCGTGGCCGCGCACCAAGCTCTTCAGCCGGCTCAGCTAGTGACGCGCGCGCGCCGCGCTGCCGCCGCCCCACCGCGTATGACGCTCACCTTCTGCGAGTGCCGCTTCAGCACCTGCAGCTCCTTGGGACTGGTCCGCGTGCAGATGGCCAGCGTGAGCGTGTAATCGAACTGGTGCACGATCAAGTTCAAGTAGACGGTCTCTTCCCAGTCGATCTCCGGGTCGCCGATGGGCAGCTTCTTGGAATCTTTGCGGAAAACCTCCACCTCCGTCTGCGAACGAGAGCCAGCATGAGCGCGGAGTCGCAGAGCCCGGCATCGGCCGCGCAGCCCTTTCGGGCGAGTGACGCTGTGAGCGCGTGTGATATGTGATAACTCGATAGTGAGCTCGATACGAACTGATCTTTGTTCTAGTGACCTCTGTGTTTTTATTGTTGAATAGAAATGTAAGATTTTGGTTTAACAAAAAACAATAATCGATCGGTTACGTCTGCTGTTGATAGAATTTTTGTTTTTTTGTAAATTGTATATTTTATGTGGTTATTGAAAATCGATTTCTAAGAACATACATACTATTTATTAGCGAAATGTACTGTGATTAGTTTGCGTGTCGGATGTGAGGGATGAGGGACGCGAGCGAGTACACCCTAGTACATAGTTGTTGTCATACCAGCCTATTGTAAGAAATCATATTTTTATATTGTTTAAAATAAAATACATAACTGTTGTTAATGCAATCTTTTTGTATATATCCAAAGATTTGTCAAAATAGAATTTCATAACACTCATCCAAATGGTGCTAAACTAGAAATATAAATGGTGAATCATTCTCTTAAAGTTAAGTACTTATGCACCTTCCGAGCAGAAAACGCAAAAAATCCATTAGTCGCAAAAGTTTGAGTATCAACCTCAGTCATTTGAAGAGTTTCTAGTTGTTCCAATATGCACAAATCATCACACACAGATTGAAATCTAATAATAGCATTTAAGTAAAATTTGTAGCGGCCAACTGTGAAATTCTCTCAATATTTAAAACTCAATCAACTGCAGAGCATGATAATGTGATTTAAGATAACAATAAGTATAATGCGATTCAACTAAGAATAGGATCGACTGGGCGCCATTTTGTGATGTCAAAGCTGTCAATTGAAACAAAATAGGTAGAGTGTGCAATAAAAGATATTCTTCGATAAAACTTATTTACTAAGATTAAGTGAGAAAAAACATCAGATTTTATTAATAAAATTTATTTACTAAGATTGAGAAAAAAAACACCGATTTTTAATAACATTTATGACTGTGTGAGTAAAAATATTAATCGGAATCTAGCTCTTCAATTCCGCTCAGCTCTGCGTAACTACCGGAGTTGTCATCGTCGTCATGTTTGTTTACAAATGTTTGGTTTTTATTCTAGAATTAGCTGAGTGCTAAAAAAGAGTTCCAAGATTTTTTGCAAACCGTACTTTTCAAGCGTCATTTGACAGATGGAGGTCATTGGCTTTCCTATTCTTATTTGAATCGCATTATATAAATTGCAGATTATAGCCGAGATAATTCGAAACTACAAACTCTTCCTAGTAACGACATAAAGACCATCTATAAAATAGTACATTCTATTTATCTAGTAAGTTATGAATATACTAGCGGACCCGTCAGACGTTGTCCTGTCTACACGTCTTTAATTTGAAAATTTCAAACTTTTTTTAATAAGCTAAAACATTCTGGACCATTTTGATGAAAATTATTTATTCAAATGTTTTCCAAAATCAACAACTACTAATAAATTAAAAATTAATTAAAAAAACATCAACAACAAAATTGTGATTAGATTCACCATTCTCAGATCCCCTTGAACACACACAAAAAATTTCATCAAAATCGGTCCAGTCGTTTAAGAGAAGTTCAGTGACATACACAGAAGAATTATATATATAAAGATGTACTGAATCAGGTAGGGCGCTCACCTCGTACTTGGGCAAATATCGAGAAGAACCTTTGACGTGCCGCTTCCTAACGAAGAACAGCAGGTCGTCGCAGTCGATGGCCTGCTCCTCTTGGAACAGGAAGTGACGCACGAACAGGTCCGTCCAGTACGTCGTGCCCTGCAGCACCACGAATCCGCTCTCTGACAAACATTTAACAATCGTTGGCTTTAAGGGGACACCGGGATTTATACTTTAAGATTCATCTATTGATTGCTCTGTTTCATGTGGCCTGTCAGCTGTCGGTCAGCGCCAAACTGTAGTCGTATATTTACCACGAGAACTAAATGCCTTTATGTAAAAATTAAGAAAGCTAGAAACGAGAATTTATTCATATTTATTTTATATTAATTAGATCAGCGGCTCCGGACCAAAAGTTATATTTTTTACTTTTGAGATTTCTACAAACTATGATGAGACTTTTTCTTCCTATTGAAAGCTCATAATAGCATTCTATTATAAATAAAATTCCCAATCAATTATGCTATACACATATAATATATTTTATAAAGTTGTCATCCAGTGACTCCGATCATGTAATGTAGTCCATACAACTCGAATGAAGGAATTGTTTATATTGATACTATTCAATGTTCCCTAAAATATAACTTTCCATTGGTACCTATTATTTATGAAATGTTATTCATTATATTATGTAGTTTAGACATGTGAAATATAAATTAAAAAGTGCCTTTAGGATAAGCTACGACACAACAAAAAAAATCGGCCAAGTGCGTGTCGTCCCACACGCAGTGTATGGTTCCGTAGTTGCTCGTCGTCACCACAAAATATTTTGGAAAGAGTCTATATTTTAAGCAATTACTGCATCTTAGTCACTTTTAATGATTTCTTCAAACTTATCTTTATTAGGTCAGAAATTTTCTAATACATAAGTTGAACGACTATTACTCTTAAACTAACTAATATATTTTAACTATTATAATTTTCCTTAAAAGTCCGCCCTGCACAAACAAAAATTAGCATTTTACATTTCAATATTTCGCAAGCGGATCCTTAAATCGAAAAATTGTCTTAGAAACCCCTAAGTAATTGTAAAGGACCTATTCAACGATATCCTACATGATGGGGGATGATGAAAACATAAAATAATCTGCAGGTTACATCTTGGGGAGCTACTAAAAGAATATTTGTAAAAAATTTATTCTACCATTTTGTCGGCATGATTGATATACATATCGCCACAAAATAACAGCTCTCTAGTGCTAACAGACTCCAAGCAAAACCGGGGACGGACAGACAGACGGACATGACGAAACTATAAGGTTTTCTTGTCAGGACTACGGAATCCTAACAGACGTACCATCTAGTTTTGAACTTTGAACTAATAAATTAGTAGAAATCATTGTGTTAACAAACATTCTTACTGCCGAACATTCAAAGGTTTCTTATTTTACAACTAATTTTAAGGAAATCGTTGTAAACTTTACTTATTTTTTTATATAAAATAATAAAAAAAACAGCAGCTTATAAGTAAAACTTTGAGTATTCGGCAGATTTACTCGTATAAAATAGGTAGGTAACGTTTATATTATAACGATTCAAAATTAATAACTATATTACCTACAATGTGTGTCAAAAATATAATAATAAGCGGTGGTTTGAAACAATTTTCTCGCATCCTCGCTGTGCTTATAACACGCAATGAAACAATATCAAAATGCTGATAATATGTCATGTTCATGTACACTAGACAGAAAGATAACTTCTTTGGCCGAGGATGCGGTTATGAATTCCGATCTCATTATTGTAGGCACAAAAGAAATGCCAACGAGAGCGCAGATGTAATATTATTAACAACCATTACATATGACTCCTCTCACTTGATCTGAATCTCCAAAAAGAGGTCTTCACACGTACCAATCGAAAATAATTAAGAAAGATACAATTTCCCGCATTATGGTTGGAAAAAAGTGACCATCAAACGCGACTGACATAAAGATGCTGCATCGCAGGCAGACTAGAGTAATATTCTGTGATTCAGATTGTAGCGTGTGAAGATGTTCAATGAGTATTGCTGGCTGTATATTGCTTATTTGTATACGCATCACTGTATGCGGGTACACTTTACTCATTGTCTATATATTAATCTTTTTTAATGTTATATACATATATTAATAAAAAATAATGGTACAATGAAATTGTTTTTTGTTCCTACAGTAAGATAAACTCGTGTAACAATCACAATAAGAACTACTTGACTTGTAATATTTCTTACAAAACTGCATTTATAAAAATCCAAAAAATACCTACTGAACAGAAATGATATTGCAACAAAAATACTATCTTGTAATCTCTACACTGCACTGTTATGTATTGCTCAATTATAGTGCACCCTACCATACATGATATTCATGATGAAATTGTAAGACTTGTCGCTGACGTTATGTAGTTATCGATAAAAAATGCAATTGAAATAATCAGTAAAGAACATAGCCGAACGTGAACTTATTTAGTTATTAGCTATTTTATAAGTTTTAATAACATATTTTTCATGCATGCTGAAAGTGTAAACATTGAAATGAATGGGTGATGAACCACGCACCACAAAATTATTGGTATTAACCAAGAAGGCTTTAAGAGTTCAAATAAATTGTTTGTGTTACATTCCTACTTTCTGCATGTTTTTATTTTATTAAGCATAGGACTTGAAAAGGAATATGAAACACATAAATAACTTGAATAAACCAACGCTGTTGTAAATTAATTAAACGTTAATAAATGTGTTTTAATAAATATTTTGTTTCATTACAAGTTTCTAACATCATAATCTGAAAAGTTATTCCATCTTCATTTACGTTAGAAACCCAATACTGTGATGTGATCTGTGATGGATGGCAAGTGAAAACTGATGGAAGTTTGCTTTTAATTTTATCCTCAATAACGTCAGTTACGTGGGTTAAATTTTAAAATATTTTTAAGCGAAATAGTGGAAAATCGCTGTGCGACTAGCATTCCCAAAATCTATATAATATATAAAACTCAAAGGTGACTGACTGACATAGTGATCTATCAACGCACAGCCCAAACCACTGGACGGATCACGCTGAAATTTGGCATGCAGGTAGATGTTATGACGTCGTAGGCATCCGCTAAGAAAGGATTTTGATCAATTCTACCCCCAAGGGGATAAAATAGGGAATGAAAGTTTGTATGAAACTTTGTCAATTTTAAACCGATCGGACTGAGACTTTGCATGCAGGTATAAGAAGAATCATAGATGAATGTAATTGTGTATAATACAAGCCTGAGAACAAAAACTGTAGTCTACACTT